TTGTTGATTGATTGAAAATGGCTGGAACGCAGTTTGAAAGCCAAATAGAAAGAAATCGACTTAGATTCCGATAGGTATTGAGATTTTGCCCAAATTATGTTTCACCACGCTTTCTTGGGGGAGCAGGTTTTTTGACACTTTCAAGTAAGCAAAAGAATGAGATCGACGTCTGTGGTGTAACGGTTAGGCACTTTTTTGCCGTACACAAGCCACCCGAGTTCGGTTTCCTGATGGGGAGAAATTTTTATCGAGGTCCTCGATCTTTCTGCTGATGTTGTATCCCTCTCAGCCCTGGTTGGCCCTGACAAGCATAATGGGATGCCCGCCTCCTAAATGATCAAAATTATGTTGACGGGGGCGTATAAATATAGACATAAAAAGTGTCAGAGTCCCTCAAAGATACATTAAACAAAGCGAGAAGTTTCAGAATCTCACATATTCTGAGTTGCTGGAAAAGTAGGAGATACAAGAAAGCTACATTATGAGATCTGCATGTCACAAGCATAAAAACACATTGAAAAAAAAGTAAGAAAATTGAAGCAGTAGCATAATTATTTTCGTCTCGATATTGCCTACTTGTAACGTAATATCCATACTTATACAATGATTTGATGTCACCTCTCTGGTTGTGTGGGAGCAAAGGAAAAACCACGTTCATGTAACAAGGTCTCTCTCGAGACAGGGAGCTCAAATTCAGCTTTGGGTTGTGAACAGTTTGTATAAAATTCCTTATCACTCATTTCATAAGGTTTTAAAATGCCATTTAATAGTTCTGTTTCCCACAATTTAACAAGAATTACAAAAAGAAAAGACATTCTTTACACACAGAAATACCCAAACACGGAACATATCTGCCCCCCCCTCCCTTTCAAACAAAAATAGTAAAAATCTCGAAACAGCGAAAACAGTCCAAACTTTAAAAAATGTTCATCCAGCATCAGACGATCTTGAATAGAACTCAAAAGCCATCGGAAATACACACTCTGAACCACACGCTGACTTATGCCGTCCCCCACAAAAAAAAAAATAATCCCCCCCCTTCCCAAAAAAGAACACCCCCTAAAAAACACAAAACAACAACAAACAAACAAAAACAACAACAACAAAAATCCAAGCGGAAAAACAACAACAACAACAACAACAACAACAACAACAACAACAACAACAACACGGAAACAAACGGAACCCAACATATCCCCCCCTTTTTTTTCAAAACATCCACAAAAAAACACACTCACATCAAGACACACACACACGCTCTCTCTCTCTCTCTC